TTCCCTTAAATGACAACAGCTTCAACCTGAGTCCCAAGCAAAAACCTCACATGTTCACAAACACTTCACAGTCAGACTTCGACGTTTCTGAAATAATCACTGGGTCCTGTCCTTCTAACTTCAGAAGTTTCTGGAAGCCTAGGCCTTCCTGGGAGCCCCACAGTGCCTGCTGAAGCTTTGTCCACACGTCTGTCTCCCTAGTAGACCGCGACTTCTGTGAACAGGGCTGTGTTAGTCCTCTGCTAACAGCCAGCACACCGTCTGACACACAGGATTCCAAAAATTAGATGTTTGTTGAGCAAATGAAAGGACAAGCAGGCGCAGGGAAACAAGACACTTTCAAGGTGTGCCAGATGGTAGGAACCAAAAGCAAAAATTATGCGGTGTTCTTTCCGGCCTTTATAAAGTTGTTTCAGGAATAAAATTAAGCCACTGGGGAAAATGTGATGTGGCATAGGAAATACCGGAGGAGTTTTTAATGAAATCATTTCTAGCTTTTCCCCTCCAATATATACCCCACTATCTATAAGGAGCAGTTTAGGTCTAAGGTTACCTCAGGGGTCAGTGACCAAGCTGTAGAGTTTAAACCCAGCTCTTTACTGGGGGCTAGGTGGTTATAAAGTGGGTGGGGAAAGATAAGAGGACTAAAGAAGAGCTGAAGGTCTGGGAGGGGGAGGAATGAACCGGAGGGAGGGGCAGAGCAGAAGCTGGAGGGTAGGTTTCAATGAGGGGCGGGGCTTCCAAACCCTCCAGTGAAGAGCTCATTCATTACTGTGCTTCCAGGGTCTTCGGAGGCATCTGTGGTGAAGGAAAGACAGGGCCAGCCAGGAGTAGCCCAGGGAGGCTTTGTTTTCAGATTTCCAGCTGTGGCCAAACTCAACCACAACACCCGGTACTGCCAACATTCTAGGTGAGGTTCAAGTAGAAGGAGGACCGAGGTTCAAACAGCAGGAGCCTCCCAGTGGCCTGACAGCTCCCACCAGCTGGCGGGTCTTACTGGGGCCCACAGCACCGGGCGTCACGTCTCACACATTGTGCAGGGCTCAGCAAGCGCCTGGCAACAGCTGCCTTCTGTTGGGAGGCAGAAACAGCTGGGAGGCGGTCAGGCGGGCACGCTCAGCCACTCAGTCGTGTTCAGCTCTTCACGACCCCATGGGCTATAGGCTCCCCTGTCCCAGTAGGAACACTGGGGCAGGAGTACTGCCTTTTCCTCCTTCAGAGGATCCTCCCGACCCAGGAATCGGACCTGAACTGGCAGGTGTCTTCTTTACCGCTGAGCCACCCTGGAAGCCCGGGAAGCTGTCGCCTCCCTGCTTCAGTCTCCAGGCAAAGCTCAGAGCCACAGGCCTGCAATGACTCTCTGCGCCTGTCTCTGCGTGTGCAGAGCATGTTCATGATTCTCGCTGGTGAGTGAAGTCACGTCAGCTCCTGATGCTCAAAGACCGCTCATTCACTGAGAAACTGAGGCACAGGGAAGGGGAACCAGGACCCCAAACTCTGCTTCTGAGGCCGTGACCCGAACCTCTAACGCATGTGTCTCTGCAGGAGCTCCTCCTGGCTTTCCTGGCGCAGCTGGAAACGGTCAAGTCCCTGGATAACAGCACCGCACACCGATTTGTCTTTATCCCTTATCAGCTCCTCAAAATTCTAACACTTCTGGAATGGGGATAATTCTCAAATCTGGCAGGTCATTCGTTCCTTCAGCGACTTTTTAATCAAAGTCTTACTACGTACCAAGAACCATTTTAGGGTTTCCCTGGTGGCTCAGCAATAAAGACTCTGCCTGTAGTGCAGGGCACATGGGTTCAATCCCTGGGTTGGGAAGATCCCCTGGAGGAGGAAATAGCAAACCACTCCAATATTCTTGCCTAGGAAATTCCGTAGACAGAGGAGCCTGGTGGGCTACAGTCCATGGAGTCGCAAGAGTCCAACGTGACTGAGAGACTAAATAACAAGAACCATTCTAGGGGCAGGGATATATGGATGAACAAAACTTAGACCGTGCCCTTTGGAACAGTGGGAGGAGACAGACAATAAAAATGTAAACTCATAAATCACTTAGAAAGTGATAGAAGAAAAAGAAAAATGAGCACAGGGTAGGTCAGGTTAGATCAGGAAGGTCAGGGAGGGACCAGGGGTTACAGTTTTAAATAAGGGTGACAGGAAGGCCTCACGGAGAAGATGAAGCAGACACAAGGGAGGGGAGAGTGAGCCACAAAGTCTGGGGGAGAACATTCCGGCCTGCGGGAGCGGCCACTGCAAAGGTTCCAGGCTGGGAGTGTCCTCAAGGCCAGCAAGGCCGGCCTGGCTGGTGACAGAGCCACTCACTTGTTGCTCACTCGTTGTTTAACAAACGTTTACTCTTCGTTTCTTCACCAGGCAAATGAGTGGAGAAAATGCTAACAAGGCATGATGCCAACCCTCAAGGAACTCACAATGCTGGTGGGTAAGGTGGAAATGAAATGACCTTAAAAGAGGATCACACCCACAGCGGATAGACTCTGGAGAGATTCAGGACCCTCATCCAACCTGGAGGTGATGAAGGGTCCCCCAGAACACAGAAAAGCCCCTTGGCTCAACTAGGTAGGCACCCTGGCTCAAATATCTGTGCTGCTGACAATGCTGGCTGCGTTAACCCAACTTATGGGTTTTTCTTAGCTAAAAAAAAAGAAGCCTGGGACCTCCCTGGCAGGCCAGTGGCTAAGACTTCACGCTCCCAATGCAGGGACCTGAGTTCGATCCCTGGTCAGGGAACTAGATCCCACATGCTGCAATTAAAGATTTCACAGGCCGAAACTAGAAAGATCCCATGTGCCACAACTGATACCCAGAGCAACCAAATACAAAAATATTTTAAAAATGAAATAAAAAAGAAAGCTTCTAAATACCGGATTTGTAAAGAAAAGGCAGTAAGTTGCAGGTATACACTGAGCATTTGCCATGTCCAAGAGGGCCCTGGACTGAAAAGGAAGATGCCAGAGGGGAAGATGTGGGAGAGATCACACTCTGGATGTGGGAGAGAGCACAGCCACGAATTAAAACTAGGAATCAAGAAGTGATGGTGTAATGCCCAGGGCCTCACAATGCAGGGTGCAAACTGTGCCTGTGCGCCCAAGGAATTACCAGCAGCCCCTCCAGGCATCAGCCTCAGGCTACAGGCTTGATAAGGAGGAGAGTCCAGGGGACTAAAGTGTGTATCTGCAGAGCCCCACTCAGCACAGCTCTGCCCTCAGAGATGCTAGCTCTGCTTTCCCAGCTTCAGGAAGTGGTGGTACTTTTTTTTTTTTTTTTAAAGATGAGCCCAAAGATGGCCCTGCCGAGATTCAGGAAGCTCCCACCCTGCTGATCAGGGGCTGGGAAGCCTGACCATGCCAATCCATACAGGTTGGATCCAGATCCAGGCTGGACGATGCAAACGTGCTTGTCGGGTGTGTTACCAGCAAGTCCCAAAGACCATAGAGGTGGTTAAGGAGAAAGCCGCCCTGGTGAGTCCTAACCCTGCTTCTGACCAAGCAACATAGGAAAAGTCCTCCAGGCCTAGAGGCTGCAGGGTGGGGGTGGGGCTCAAATCCCCCCTGCTCTTCTGTTTGGACTTGATACCTGGGGGAAACAGATTCCTGGGTCTGCCCACACTGAAGCTCCCCCGGGGGCTGTGCCATTACCACCAGCCCCTCTGCAGACCACCTTACAGGCTGTCTCCCACTCAGGCTTATATAACTGGAGTTCTCCTCAGCTCTGATGCTGAGATTCAGTCTGTCAAACTGAAAAAGGGAAGGTACCCAGTCCCCACCCTGGCTCTAACCCCAGCATCCCTGCCAGGCCAGCTCCTCCTTATCCTACTCTGTCACCCACTGATCCAGCCAGTTGAGGCTTTCCAGAAATGAGCAACAACGGGCTGAGGTCTTGCCTCAGCCAGCAGGAGTCCCACCTGTGGGGAGTGAAGCAGAGTTCTGGGGTTTAGGTGACCCCCCCATTCCTTTATAAAGAGCTCCCCTTCTGGTCTTCTCACTGCCTTTGGCCGAGGAGGGTTTTGCTCCCTAACTAGCTTATTTACTGTCACTCGGAGCAGCAGAGGCAGGAGGAAAGTTTTGCTAGAAGTAAAGAAAGGGGTGTGTGCTCTGAGCCCCGAGGCTGCTGAATAAACCCTCCAAGTGTCTAACTACCAAGGGCATATGTGAGGAAAAAACCAGGCCGACTGAAGATACCCAGCAGACCACAGGAGGGAAGCTTATGTGCGGCGCCTGGGAAAGATAGAATAACCAAAACTTAATCTGCTCGCTTCTACTGAACAGTCAAAAGCATTACTTCGCATTGCTCTTGGCAGAGAGCCAGTGAGTGCCCTCCCAACTTGGCTTCCGTGGGCCAGGCGCTCCAGTGACACCATTCTCGCTTGGCTCCAAAACCTTCCAGAGCTCCGAGCGCCCAGCAGACTGACTGCCCTGACTTTCAGGCTCTTCCCAAGGCCCTGGATGACTCAGTCTCTCCCCCACTGACCACTGATCAGCAGAGCCTGTACCCACAGGAATGGAACCACCTGCTGAACCAGAAGCACATCCCCTGCTCCCCAACTCAACTTCTCTGTTCAAGGGATTCCCTCTGCCTCAAGCACCAAGTCTCCCCAGCTTTCAAGGATCTCCCCAAATGTTCCGGGCCCCCCAGCCCCTTGCCCACCTGACCCCAGTAGGACGTGCTGGCTCCAGGACCATGCCCTAATCTCCAAGCCCCGGTGCTGGCCTCCCTGAAGGATGGCCTCACTCCATCCCGCCCCCACGTGGGCAAGACTGTCTTGCCCTGCTTGGATCCACCTGGGGCACAAGTACAGTTCCTGGCAGATGCCTAAGAACTGTTTCTGCTGGCCTGAGTGCCCATCTCTGCAGAGGCATAGGACGTGCTGGGCAAATGAACAGGGTCACATGAATGGAGCGCTAAGATCAGCAGACACAAAACAGGTACACGAGGCACCGCACAGAGGGATGCGGGAGCCGCTCCCGGCGCCTTACCCTTCTTGAACTCCTCCAGCATGGCATCCAGCTTGGTGTCGTGGAAGACGAAGTGCACCGGGTGGTTGTAGAAGCGGGTGATGGTCTTGAGCGGGGTGCAGTCATCGGGATCCACGAAGGCCAAGTCCTTGACGTAGAGGATATCGACGATGTTGGACTGTTCGTCTTCAAACACGGGGATGCGGGTGTAGCCGCTCTCCATAATCTCCGACATGGTGTTAAAGTCCAGGATGGCATCGCTGCGGATCATGAAGCAGTCCTGCAGCTGGGTCATGATATCCTCCACCGTCTTGGTCCGAAGTTCCAGGGCCCCCTGGATCATGTTCAGCTCCTCTTTCACGAGGTCATTGTAGGGCTCGGTCACCTTCAACATCTCCATCAGCTTCTCCCGATTGTAAACGGTGCGGATCTCCTGACCCAGGAAGAAGTCCAGGAGCTTGCTGATGGGGTAACTGAGGGGGAAGGTGATCAGCATAAAGAATTTGGTGAGGATGATCGTGTTGGCACCCACGGCCAGCCCGTGTCGGGAGCACAGGGCCTGAGGCACGATCTCCCCAAAGATGACAATGCCGATGGTGGAGGAGGCCACGGCCACTAGGCCGGACCCAATGAGGTTGTCTAGAAGGATGGTGAGGGAGGTGTTGACCAGCACGTTCCCCAGGAGCAGGGAGCAGAGCAAGTAGTTGCCCTTGCGACGGATGGGCTCGATCTTGCGGGCATAGCGCCGCTCCTTCTGAGTGCCACAGTTCTGCACGATGCGCAGCTCCATGGGGTCCAGGGCCATCAGCCCCAGATTGAGGCCAGAAAATATGCCCGACAGCCCCAGCAGCACCATAATGATGAGGACGTGCAGCCAGAGGGGCAGGAGCCTCCCAGCCTCCTCCACCATGAGGAGCAGAGAATCCTTGTCCGTCCACCTCTGCCAGGGCCTGTCCACGCCCGCCCGGGTGCACAGCGCATACAGTTTCGTGTTCTCACTCCTCCGGAGGAACTTAGTGAGCACCACCAGCATCCCCGACGTGTCCCCGCGGCTCACGTTGACCAGCTTCTGGACGACCAGGTCCTTGGTGAGCTCGGGGCACTCGGTGGAGTTGTGGAAGGTCTCGGCGTTGTCCACCTCAGTGAAGGAGATCAGGTTGCTGGAGAAGGAGTTCAGCCCCTGGCCGTACAGCCTCAGGTTCACCGTGCTGCCCTCGGACACGGAGATGATGCCATCCGTGTTTATCTCACACGATTTGCTGCAGCTCGTCAGCCTCATGCCCAGAATCGCGCTCCGCTGGGGGCCGCCCTGGCCGCGGACCCCCGGCGCCCACAGCAGCACCAGCAGCACCAGCGCCGCCAGGAGGAGACCTGACGTCAGGTCAGCGCCCCATCTGCCCCGCCCCGCGACCCACGCCTCTTATTTGCATGGGAGGCTCCGCCCCCTGGCGCGCGGATCGGGCGCCCTCCCTTAAGGAAGTCCGGCATTTAAGGTGGCGTGGCGCGAGAGCGCGGGAGCTGCGGGCGGCTGTCCGCCCCACCCTCCTGCTCGCAAGCTTTTCCGCCCTCTTGGCGGGTCCTTCTCTCCTCCGCGCCGACCTGCTCTGCCTATCGCACTGTTCCCCTTCCGCAGCCTATCCTGGCCTCGCTTGCTGGGCTCCTTCCCCTTCCCCAAAAAAGCTGCAACGGAGGCGGTGACTCTTCTCTGTAAGAATCTCCGAAGCAGCACCACGTGGTGCTCGGGCCAGAAAATTGCTTTTCCTGCTTTGAAAAAAGAAAAGGAGAACCCGAGAGCAGAGGCCTGAGGGAGGTCCTCACGTCCACAGGCATTGTTCTGACCTCTGCAGTCCTGGGGCTTTTGCCCACCTTGTCCAGAGGCCAGAAGTTGATCCCCCAGGACCAGGCCAGAGATCTCTGGGGCCAGTGGAGGGGAGATCTGGGGAACCAGATGCAGGGAATGCAGATAGAAGGGGCATGGTCTGCCATTTTCCTTTAGGGCACAAATACTGAGCGCTCCTGTGCCGGGCACTTGTTCCAGGCTCAAACAATATAATAGTGAATGAGCCAAAGATCCTGCCCCCTGGAGTTGGCAGTCTAGGATAAGAAACAGGCAATCAACAATCAACACATACAAGGACTTCCGTGTTGGTCCAGTGCTCAAGATTTGCCTGGTAGAGAAGCCCCTGTGCCGCAATGAAGACAATTCAGCCAGAAAAAGTTTTAAAACATAATATTTTTTAACCATCCCAAACAACCCTAAGATATTTTCATATTCCAGATGAAGAAATTGTGTCTAGGCACAAATCAGGGCCCATCTAGACTGTTATCTTAAGAGCAGTCTCAAGGAATTTGGGGTGGTGGGTTTGGACATGTACACATGGGGTATAAAAGATTTTTCACAAATGCTGGTGGGGGTTCTTGGCTAAGAGGAGACTCTGCCTTGGGCCCGCTGGTGTGATAAACTGCACTCCACTATCTGCATTGTCCTGAGTGAGTTTGTTTCCCAGAACGCGTGGCTACAACAGTGTGACTTCGGTAAGACAAGTTGAAAGGTTTCTCAGCGCCAGCTGCTTCATCTGTAAAATGCGGGTAAAAATGACAACACAGGGACTTCTCTGGTGGTCCAGTTGGTTAAGAGTCCACCTTCCAATGCAGGGAATGTGGGTTTGATCCCTGGTCCAGGGACCAAGAGCTCACATGCCACCGGGCACCTAAGCCCGCACAGCAACTAGAGAAGCCTGGCGCACTGCAAGGAAGAGTGCACATGTCCCAGCTAAGACCTGACGCAGCCAAATAAATAAACAAAAAGAAAAAAACGCCAACAGAGCAGCGCTTCACTGAGCCTGGGGGAGCAGCTGCCCTAGGCATGGAACAGGAAGGGACAACTCTGTGACTGCTCTTTGACTATGTCGCTGTTATTGTTACTATTGTTGCTGTTGTTGCTGTCTGCCCTTCCGGGACCAAACGCCTAACCCTAGATTGTGGTGACTGACCAGCTGGGACAGCTGCATGTAGAAACGAGCTGAGAGGCACGGCGCCAGGCCTAACCCTGAAATGACTGCTTCCTGGCCAGCCCTCCTCAGTGTCAGTCAGCAACTATGAATTGAGTGCCAGGCACTCAGGGTGTGGGGGGAAGGCCAACCGCAGCTGCCGGTCCTGTTAGAGGGGGAAGGAGGAAGACAGACAAACATCCTTATAATAATCGCAGAGGTGTGCTGATGAGAGGATCAAGCACCAGGTTGACCCCTGGGTCTTGAAGCAAGGATTTTGCCAGCCCTGGAGCCACAGAAATCCATTTCACTGTCTCTCTGCACAAACACTGGTGTTTATTTTTATAATGGCATACTGTTTGCCAGTAAAAGCAACAATCAATACCAGCCGGAAAGAGACTAAACAGAGAGGAACAATCATATAGTGTTTAGAAAGGTGACAGAAGGCTGATTCAAATAAGCCCTTTTAGCAGGGGTAGTGAGTGTGGCATCCCAGGCCAGCCTAAAGCAATCCCTTGCAGGGAGATCCCTCACTTCATATTTCACAGGGAGCGCCCAGCTTGCCAGTTTTTCAGAAAACAGGACCCTCAGGTGGGCACTGACCAACACAAACACAAGCAGAATCATTGACCAACTGCTTCCACCTACCTCCTCCAACCAGCATGTGCTATAGCCTGGGAACAAGTGCAGTCTCAAGGAATCTTCTGCTCTCATATCTTTCCAGCCAGTTTTAGGACCAGCGCCCTCCCCCAGAGTCCTTAGAGACTCCCATTCTATTATCGACCAATTGGCTGTTTTTATTTTGCCCTTTTCAGATGTCTGTACTCAGAAGCGTTCTATGCATGCACTGAGCCCAATGACAGAAACCAGCAAAGACAAGGAAAAACAAACAGAAGCTTTCAAGATACTTAGGTTAAAAATGCAAGGGGTGGGTCTTCCCTGGTGGCTCAGTGGTAAAGAATCCACCTGTCAATGCGGGAGTTGCTGGTTCGATCCCTGGGTCAGAAAGAGCCCCTGGAGAAGGCAATGGCAACCCACTCCACTATTCTTGCCTGAGAAATCCCACAGACAGAGGAGCCTAGCAGGCTACAGTCCATGGTGTCGCAAAAGAGTTAGACATGACTTAGCGACTAAACCACCACAGTTCATTTAATTACACCCATCCATGCTCTTATTCACACCAATGATTAAGTGAATACAGCCTATCCAATGAAGTCAAGAAATGAAATTCCCCTTTCTGTGCTACCCCAGCAGGGGTCCATACAGCCTTGCTCTGGGTTCCCAGTGTAACTTAAAGAGAAACTTTTGCAATGTCCAGAATCCTTGATGTCCTGCAAATGAAGAAGAGGAGGAATCTGTTATTAAATAGTTTATACAGTCTTAAAAATAGAGAAAGAAAGAAGAAACACACAATAAAGAAATTCCTCTTTACCCTCCCAAGGCCTTCAATCTGCAGGGAACGCAAGACTCAGTGTTGTTGTTCAGTTGCAAAGTTGTGTCCCACTCTGCAACCCCACGGACTGCAGCACACCAGGCTTCCCTGTCCTTCACCATCTCCCAGAGTTTGCTCAAATTCATGTCCATTAAGTTGATGATGCCATCTCACCATCTCATCCTCTGTCACCCTCTTCTCCTCCTGCCTTCAATCTTTCCCAACATCAGCGTCTTTTCCAATAAATCAGGTCTTCGAATCAGGTGGCCAAAGTATTGGATCTTCAGCTTTAGCATCTGTCCTTCTAATGAATATTCAAGGTTGATTTCTTTTAGAATTGATTGGTTTCATCTCCTTGCTGTCTGAGGGACTCCCAGAAAAAGTCAAACACATTATAACCCACAAAATGTCAGAAGAGGTATTTGAGGACCAGACTGGAGCTCATGTTCATTCTCTGCCTGGCTTTGGTCCCTGGTTAGGGCATTTAACTTTTCCTCATCTGCAGAGTTCCTGCAGCACGTGAGGACCGCATGGAGATGGAGGTGTTTTAATGTACAGGAGGCCTGGGCCATCATATCTCGCTCCTGTGAACCAGGCTGTGAGAATGGCAAAAAGGGACCTGCAAGTGAGAATCCTCTCTCCTTTAGGGGGCAGACCTGTTCTTTTACCTGGGGCAGAAGCCTTTACTCACCTGAGTTTCCTTCATTTGCAAGTAAGGAGTTTAGAGAGGATCCTTCTCTGAGAGGTCCCGATACCTGACTCCCCCCCCCCAAGCCTCCCAAAGCACTCCATTCTTTATTAATTTATTACTATTATTATTATTTATTTGACTGCACCGAGTCTTAGTTGTGGCATTCGGGATCTTAATTAATTAATCTTAATAGTGGTATGCAGGATCTAGTTCCCGGACCAGGAATCAAACCTGGGCTCCCTGCATTGGGATCAGGGCATCTTAGCCGCTGGACTGCCAGGGAAGTCCCCCTAAGCACTCTATTCTTGACATGGGCCTGAAGCGTTCTTTCCCGGCCCTATGGCAACCTGTCTACAGCTCCTGTGTGTGTGGTTTTTTAAAATATATATATTTTTTATTAATATATATTTCATTGAAGTATAGTTAACTTACAATGTTTCAGGTACACAACAAGGTGATTCAGTTATATATATACACATATATTATTTTTCAGACTATTTTCCACTAGGTTATTACAAGATATTGACTATAGTTCCCTGTGCTATATAGTAAACTTTTGTTCTTGTTGCATATCTATTTTTTTAATTAGAAATCTAGCATTCTATTCATACTAAGTCAAATAAGTGGAATCAAAATGCCATTAATATTTTAGACAAAAGTTCATGAGTTTTCTAATGTATATATATTATACATAGTATTTATATGTACTTGCATGCCAGGTGCTTCAATTGTGTCTGACTGTATGCAACCCTATGGACTGTAGCCTGCCAAGCTTATCTGTCCATGGAATTCTCCAGGCAAGAATACTTGAATACAAGAAGGGTTGCCATGCCCTCCTCCAGGGGATCTTCCTGACCTAGGGATTGAACCAGAGTCTCTTATGTCTCCAGCATTGGCAGGCAGGTTCTTTACTGCTAGTGCCACCTGGGAAGTCCTTACTATTTATATATATGTATACAAAAGTTTTTCTACTACATTTGATAAAGGTTTGGAAAAGAACATCAAAAAAAAAAGAAGAGATGGAGAAATCGGAAAACATAAACTAAATGAAATAGGAGCACCAGCATGTCTACAGTTCCAGTGGTTGAGTCCACTCCTTTCTGGTCCTGTGCAGGGAGACAACCTAAAAGGTTTATTGCTCTTTCTATACCTGGCATTGTGCTGACACTGGGGATCCTTGATGAACAAGGTCTTGAATTAGTGACCTGGGTTCTCCTGCCCCTACTCCCGAGGCTGGGATCCTCCCAGGCTGGTTTCCTAGCCCTCTTCAACCTCTGGGTCTGCACAATGGGGAGCTGCAGGCAGAACAGCTGCCCGTCTGCTGTTGGAACTCAGAGCCTGAGGCCTGCCACAGCCCCGCACTGGACAGAGCCCTCGGGAATGCTGTGGGCCTGGGGTATGAGAACCTGGATAGCAGCAGAGTGAGGCACGGGCCATCCTCAATACATGCTCTGAGGACTTACCTAGTGGCCCAGTGGTTAAGGATCTGCCTTCTAAGGCAAGGGACGCAGGTTTGATTCCTGGCTGGGGAACTACGATCTCACATGCCACAGAGCAACTAAGCTCTCACACCACAACTAGAGAGAAGCCTGTACACTACAACAAAGATCCTGCGTGTTGCAGCTAAGACTCAATATGGCCAAAAATAAATTAATTAATATTTTTAAAAATACATGCCATGCCTGTTCACCACTGTCCGTAAGTCTACAGTAACTGAGCACTGCAGGACAGGTCTGTGCCATTTAATCGTTTCGGAAGGGAAGGGGCAGCTGTCCCTCCTCTGAGGGATGGAGCAAGCATGGACTTAGCGCGATGCTGCTCTTTTCTGGGGCAGCCATGCCTAGGGGCAAGTGGAACCTAAGTCCCCGAACAAGGAATGAAACCCCGCCCCCCAACAATGGAAACAAAAAAGCCCAAACAACGGAACGCCAAGGGGGGTGAACCCGGAAGCCGCCCTGAACCAAAACCCAAACCAAGGCAACCCCGGGAAGGGGGAAAAGGGGACCTCGTCTGTGAGAAAGACTCTTCATTGAGCCAGAGAAGTGGATGAAAACATCAGGTCAGCGGATCCAGGCCCATAAAAGGATGTGCCTCTCACAGGCCGTCAAATGCCAGAGTGGCAAGGGGGAGGCGCGTTTGTATTCATTGGGTAGGCTTCCTATTGCCATAGGACAGGTTGTTCTCCTTTGGGACAGGCCCACAGGAGGCAGGATGCCCCACTATGGGGATTCAGGAAGAGCTCTGGAGGCCCAGTGCGGGGTTGGCTTATCCACAGATCGCTTGCATGACCTAGGACTCTGGGACATCTTTGAGTGCCTAGCGAGAGGAAGTCTGGCCCTCGGTGAGAGCTCAGTACATGATCAGTAACCACGACAACACTGGGAAAGAGGTAGCCAGGATTTTCAGAGGACGTGCAGATGGCCTTAGCTCCCCTGTCTCCCCATAGAACTCCAGACAATCTTCTTGTCCTTTTCCTTCCCTTTCCTGCAGAGGGAGAAAATCAGCTGAGGATGAGCGGCCTGAACAAGACCACATGGGGCCCCCGTGGGCCTCCGTGGGAAAGGAAGCTGGGAGGCTGGTGGAGTGTAAGTGTAGGGAGCGTCACACAAAGGGCTCAGGCTGCTGGGAGGGAGAGACGGCTCCCACTCGGGATCCCGATCAGATAAACCTAACACCATGCAAGCTCAGGCTTGGGGATCCCCTGCTAACCCAGGTACTCTATGAGAACCTCAGGCAGCAATGGGTGTGAGGGTGGCCCTCAGGCCCAGACCTCTGCCCCCTGTCCCCCTCCCCCTAAGAAGTACTGGAACACCTTCTGGACCCAGGACTGGCAACCCCAGCAAGCTTTCCCTTCTGCCTCCCAAAACACAAAGATTGCCCCCACTTTTTTTTTTTTAT